ACTTTCATGCCTGGAGATTTCTCAATACCAAATTGCGGATTTTCATGCATTTATAAAATACATAAATTGAACAGTGCACTCAGTATGCAAAAGCATAGAAAATGTTGAAAGAAACCTGGGTCCTATCATATTTAATTCATAAATGCAAATCATATCTCATTTTTCAATCCTCTCTTGGAAATATTTTATTTTACATAAAAACCACAGTCTACTCGTTACATTTTTCTCTTGAATAGCCCCAGATAAAAATTGATATACGCATGTATCAAAGAAAAATATGTTGGAGATAATTCTCGTTTGCATTACAAATTAATAGATAACAACATTAGTTTAGGACACACCTGGAAAATCTAAGAGACTTCTGGCTTCCACATGAATAGCCTCAAGTGTTTAATCACATTTATAATGAAAATTAATAGATGAGAAAAGAAATATTTACAATTCTACTTCTCACAACTTTGCATATCTACGTTATTCTGTTCTATACTATTGTACACCTTATTATCCTATTACCTGCAATTTCTTATAAAAAGGTAACGCGGGCTATTCTATAACTGGGGATACAACTAACAAGGGAGCCGTTCTGGCATATTGAAAAATAAGAGGAAAGTGTAGAATAACATTTTGTCGTACGCAGGTGTATTTTCCAGACTGAATAGTACTGCAGCTTCGGTAAAAAGGAAGGGTATGATAAATTACCCACAATGAAATATATTTCTGACGTTAAATTACTTAAATAAGATAGATACAGTTTCTCGCCAGTAGAAAATCACTCGAGAGCCGTAGATCAAAAAGAACAAATTTATTAAATTATTAAACTCTAATATCTGTTCACGTCACAAACTCTATAAATCAGGATCGTTCTCTATCGCGAAGACAGTACAATTGTTCCTTGTACGTGTCTCGAACGCGTGTTGCTTTTCTTCAATGCACATCTGACTACGTTTATTTTCTCGCCGCAAATATTTGACAGCCATCGATTCACACGTAGACAGGGTAGACGCGTCGCGCGTGCGAATAGCATGCAGCTGGTGCCTCGATCGCGTTTTCTATTCAGCGTCACGCGATCGTAAAAATGCCTGAGGTGCAAACAATTAACTTAAACAGTGTTAGATATTTAAATATAAAGTAAGATTTGGCAGATTTTTGCAATTCCGTTGTAATAGCGCAGTTTTCATATGGTAGATCATGATTTAAAAAGTGTATAGCAATCATGTAATGCGAATTTATTAAAGTTTTTAGTATTACCTTAAAATTACATTTGTTTCATTTCAATAAACCATAAGTAGTAACTAAGGTGCATATTTGTCTGATGATTCTCATTACATAAACAGATTATAAAGCTAAAATTCTAATAAGCAGCTTTCCTGAAATCGAAGAATTGGACGCGGATTAAAATTTTTCAATTAAATGTTATGTTCTTTTAAAAAAAGTTCATAAATATTTATGAACTCTTCGTGCTTTTGATTGAGCTATCAAACTTTTTCAAACTCGTCGCAGAAGTCTCAGGAAGGAAATCCTATGTTTCAATTATGCAACACGGTAAATTAATTCGACGTGAACAGGTTTATAAAACGTCGCCACATAGGACGATGTTATTCTCAATGGAAAAAAATAGTCGATAATTCGGTGGCTCGTGAGGTCTGTCGAAATTTTAGCTGCAATATTTCACCTCTTAAACTGTACGACACGCGAAAATCCGTCTATCCGGGTTCGGATATGACGGCTGCAATTTTTGCACCCGGTTATCTCTTCAACGGCGAGCGTTTCCACCGAGGACGAAGATAAAGTGGCCTCTGATGCAGCCGTGAATTCAACACGACGCTATCGGAAATTTCACTGCGTCCGAGAACCCTTTTTTACGACCGCTATATTACGAGTAGTTCTGTTTTGAGTCTCAGTTATTTCTCATCCATTATTGAGATTTAATACTCGAAAAAGATTGTTAGAGGAACGGAAGAAAGATAGTTGCAATGTTCATCGTCGAATGAATTATTCAGGATGCTCGTCGTGGATCATTTCGTAGCCAAATTGTCGCGATTTATTGTAACTGAGGGTAAGAGGCGACCCATTTGTCACTTAAGGATTAAATTGTTCTCCTTATCATTTTCAGACCTAAGGCGACGTTTCTGTTGTCTCGAAACAAGTTCCTTACGTTTTGAATTATCGCCAGTTTACACTCGACCCTTAAATACGTTTTATTCAGCAAATGGTTGAAATCAAAATGCTACACCTTTCCTTCCCAGGCTTAACAAGATCTTATTAAATCCGGTGTAAGCACTTATACATATATAGAAACCATGTTTCTCTAACAAGATACGATTTAAGAAAATTGATATTACAATTCTGTGAGAATTAAGTAATAAATATATTTAATATACAGAGTGCTCAGTAACTGGTAGTACAATTAGCAGAGTAGGCATTTGATATTAAAAAATTATGAAAATTTAGAATAATTTACTTAATAACTATAATAAACTAATAATTTTTTAATCTGAATCAAACGAGTGAGCTAGGGAGAGACATGTTAACTTGAGAAATAATCTGAGACAAGTGTATCTGACCAATATTTAAAATCGACCTTCTCTAAAACAAAGTCTCATTTAAACAAATTTTATTCTAAATTTTCTTCTTATTTTTTTAATACAAAATCACCCTTTTGATAGTGCCATCGATTATTCCGAATACAATCTGATACCCTAAATAACATTTCATTATTCAATTAGTAAATGTTAATTGCCATTAGACTGATGATAAAGAACAAGAGAAGGGTTGTCGATGAAAGGTAAGGGTGGTTCGTTGAACGCCCACCTACGAAGAGAAATTGTATCAACGACGGGTCTTTCTGGTTTCGTGGACACGCGAGCTAACAGCTCATCGGTAACAAACCATCCTGATACATCTATTTACGGCAGCATTTTAGTTCCTCCTCGCTGCACCGGTTTCTGTATTACGTTGAACGCGAGGCCACGCGAGCACGATCTATTTCCTGATCGATTCTGTTTACGCAAAACGCGAACGAGCCTTCCATGCACAGCGGAAGGTACAATACACGTCTATTTGTTAATACGTATTCGCACTGACTGTCAGCGATCGATTTACCATTGAAATATTCAACCGAAATTATACAAAAGCTATAACAAGCATTTCATCAATCGTCGCTTCGTTAAAGAGGTTCTACGTAGCGTGAAACTGAAATTGTTGGTACGCTGTTTTTAACAGAGAAAAGATTCTTTTGTCGATTCTTGACCGTAACCCTTCCCTTTGAACTTCACGTAAATGTATTCAATGTAAATCCGCGAACATTCACAACAAGATATTTTTACAGAGCCCGCCTTGTACGTTCTGGCTAACAGAATTTATTCTCTTAATCGAAGAATTCCAGAGAGGATTTTTTTTTAAATCAGTATGTCATTGCGTAGTATATCGCGTACGTATTTTGATCTCGAAAGGGTTAAACTAGACGACGCCACTCGGTTATCGATTCGCAACCGCCGCGCCTTCAAGTAAATTCACTGTCAAGTATAAACAAGACAATTCTTCCCACTGCATAGTAAATGTCCCAATTTCCGTTCGCGTCACTATTTCTACTCACTGCTCTTTTCTTTAGTAATTTCATATTCAATCTTGATCCTATCACTACCAATTGTATTTTTTATAGAATCTTTTATTTCTTTGCATTTACTGGTTGCTAAGCTTTCACTTAGTATGTGATCTCAAGATTTATATTATTGATTCGAAATGGTTTTATTGGTGTTTTTTGGAATAAGACAACTCTCCCCTCTCTCTCTCTCAGATATCAGATAAATAGAGCAAACATTTGGTACAACGAATACAAAAAAATTGGGCAGTCATGTATAAAGTGATTACATTCTGATTAGTTGAGTTCAGAACAATATTTTGATCATATTCACAATTCACGTGTGGTAACTTGCAAAGCAATTTTAGTATAGAGGAAGCTTGCATATTACACAGGTTGTAGTTTTAATAACCAGTGGGACACGATTCTGGCATATTAGCATTTAATTGTGTCCCACTAGTAATAAGAAGTAATCTCATGGGAAGTGATAGTAGAAGTGGAAGGGTTAAACCAGTGAGTAGAACAGAAATTCGGACGTTCAGTAAAATAAAATAGTGCAATTAAAACCTGTGATCTCTGATTTAATCGTAGGAAAGAGGAAGAGATTGTAAAGGATTAGAGAGGGTGGAGTTGAAGAGGGAATTAAGACGACGCGTAATAGCAATAGGCGGTCCATTTAAGCCGCTTCCGGACGTAAACTGAACGAAATGTCTCGTTAAACCACCATTGGGAACAATGAACGCGTTCATCGGGGGTTGCAAACAGGAAACACGTTCTGCTCTCGAATTCAAAGATCTCGAGAGGGATTCTAATTGATTCCAACTTTTAAGGAAACTTTTATACATTTTAATGTGTATCAAATAATAGCTAAGCGTAAAACACCCTTTACGATCCTAGTAAACCGAACGCTTTACCTAAGAAGGTCAACAGAATTTTTCCATTAGCTTCCATTAAGTCAACTTCGTATATGTTGTTTCATAAAAAGACGTCGTCCGAAATAAAATTTACTAGCTAGATTATGCGGCATTGAAAGTTATTGATATTGATCGAAGAAGATACCTATTGTATTGTAAAAGTAAATTGAATCGGCGTTCAACCGAGCATGATCGAGTGCCATAGAGGAGAGTTGCGTCTTACGGTGAATAGAATTCTGAGGAAAACGGACGTTGATCGCGAGATCAACGTAGTCTTGAATATATTTCGTTTACATCGTCGCCGGTTGAAAGCGTCACGTGCGCCGGAGCGCGCGGAATCTACCTCTCGCAGAATTTTTATATTATTATATATCTCTGGAAAATATTTTCATAGATTGTCGTTTCCGCGATCGTGAATCGTATCACTTGGCACGATATCATTTGTCGATACGACCTACGCGGGCACGTAGGATCCTATAAACTAACCGCTGACCGAAATCACGAGGTCGTTTGATTTTACGAGCCCACACCGTTTCGACGGATCTCGATGCGAGGCCTGCAAACGAAAAAGCTTCGAACTTATAGTTATTTGGGAACTAGTTCGATTTATGTATATTGTTTTAATCGAGCCCCACGCTTAGCATACAAATGATTCGACTAACTTATTATACTTTTCTCTTCGCTTGAGCGCAGTTAAATTTAACGCTGCCGAAATAATACGATAGTTGGAGAAGATTGTTATTCTTATACACAGTAGACTGCAGTATGTCGCGGTTAATACACCACCCGCTATATGAAATCGCACGGGAATTTTTCTTGACTAACGCCCATTAATCTAAAGCAATATGTTCAGAATGATTATTGCTATGCCAATTTTTATTTTCTATGCTTTGTCAAATAGGACACTATTTTAAAAATAAGTGGCACGTACAGTGTGGTTCACCAGATGTTACTACCTTGATTTTCGTCGTTATTATTACACGTAGTAAAGAATGTTTATATACATACATATAATGTTGCATGATTGCGAGAAAGGTACATTCTGATGTTATGAAGTTTATTTTATAGGTGGATGCACAGTAGAGATATGAAGATCATCAACATTTTTTTATTATACAATTTTTCCTGCTCCTATCAACGATTTATATTCTCTATAAAAAAGACCGGCTAAAGTTCAAAAAATTCTCCCTAAGCTTTTTACATAGAACCCACGTAATTCTATTAGTTTTTAGGTGCTGAACGCGAATATCGTTTTTGGGGGAATCAGTTTTTTTTAATCTACTACTACACAATAATGTTTACATAAATACGTATATAAACTATAATAGTTATGTACAATTATTTAACACATAAATCACTGCAGCATAACTGCAGCTAACACATAAATCTCAGCACCTAAAAATTAGTAGAATTAGGTGTGTTTCATGTAAAAAGCTGGGGAGATTAATCTGAACCAAAAGACCACTCAACATTATACAAGGTTGTGATTGATTAAAAAATGTGTGTGAGAGCTCTTTTATTTCATTGAGAAATTCAACAAAAATTTAATTAAATTCTAGATTTATACACATATGCTTCCCAAGATTTTTTTACTTGAAAAATACTTCTATAATCTTCATCATTAGTCACTGTTCGTCGAGAATCACATTCCAAAAACAAACCAATGATGAAACATAAACAGCTGGTAACGACGAAGAAAACAATCTAATCCTCATCTGAAGGAGATTTAATCTTTAAAACAGGTAATCCCTGTTTTATTATTCGACGCTGTACGATGAATCGTGTTATATGAAGACAGTTGCAATATCTTTAGCGTTTTATAGGAATACGCGCTTTGTAAGATTCGCGTTACGTCTACCATAATTTCATTCATTATTAACGAGAAGTCTGAAGTATTGTAAAGAAGGACGAACACCATGGGCGGTTCTATAATCTAAACAGGACCGAATGAAAGATTATTTTAGTTCTACGAATAGTTTCGGAATGATTCTGAAAAAATTTTTAGCCCCGCGAGAAGTTACGCAACAAAGGGCATTGTGCTAAGAATAATTTACGTAACTCTGAGTTATTTTTATTGACTCGCTAATCACACAAGAATTTTATCAGATTTATAAGACAATCGAACTGTCCATCACCCCTGTTTATTTCTCCCGAAGCGGTTTTGTCTCTCTGATTACTCGCTGTAATCTCTCTTCGAATGGCAATAATCGCCACTATTCGAGACACAATAGAGAAGTCCAATAAATTCGCCGCGATGCCCGAAACCCTGCTAAACGCTCGTAAAAGAATTTATCACCGAAAGAGTCATTTTTATGGGGTTGTAAAACGCTGCTTCACACTAAATAAAAGAACTGAATCATCCCTGTCGTCTGCCACTGTAATAAGTCAATCACTGCTGAGAATAAAAATGATTCATAAGAATATATCTATTTTCTACAAATACATATGTAAATAATACTTAATTTAATCGAGCCAAATAGCAGTCTCCTGAATCTAATTCAGGAACTTGGCTAACTTTCTTTAACAAAACAGGACCTGCCTAATCTCCATCGTCACGGGTTCGACCTAATCTCCAACTTAGGACGAACCACCGGAAAGGATTAAAACAAATTCGTACTCACCAAGCATTCGAATCACATTTCTCTGGGCCGTGCTTTTACTCCTGCCACTGTCACAGTGATTAAGTCCGGTTGACAAATGCTTCCTCTTCGCCGTGGCCGTCAACAGGCTCGATCGCCTGAGCTTGATCGCGATCAGTATGTACAATACGGTGATGATCGTCATCGGCAGGACGAAGAACAGCATCGTCGATATCTGGAACGCGTGCTCGATCAGCGTCCACTTGATCGAGCACTGGGCGCTGTCCAGGACCGCGGAGCCGTTGTAGCTGCGGTACACGATGCCGAATTGAATCGCTTGGGGCACGGCGAGGCACAGTGCCAGCAGCCAGATCACTATGATGAACTTCACCGCCCGGGACAGCTTCGACATCGTGTGCGAGATGAAAGGATGACAGATCGCGACGTACCTGAAAACACGCGCCCCCACGTCCCTTCGTCTAACGCAGTCCTCAAACTCCTTAAATTATGTATCACATAAATAAAAATAAAAGAGTAATAAATGCATTTTCAGATTAAAAATAAATCAATAGATTCTGTAAGGAGTGTTTAGAATAAAAAAATAAAACGTTTTATGTTATTTAATTATGATTATAAATAAAATATAGTGGGTGATAATACATGAATTAATATTGAGTACATTTTTTATGATTAATACGAAGGGTGAGTCTGTTTCATTGCAACTAATTTCGATATATCATCTTTATCTTCGTTGATTTTAAACATAAGCCAGGTGCAAGTTGCAATCGTGTCATATATTTATTTTTAATTAATAGCGTGGCTGAAAACCCATGGAAAAAGATACGATGCGTTAAAGGGGATTACAAATTTTATCGCTTTATTGGAAATATACTGATAAGTGTTCATCTCTCATTTTTAATTAGGAAGTGTTTTTATTTTTATTCATCATGTAATTCCTGTTGCAAAAAAGACGAAAATTGAACAATCAAAAATAAGTTAATGTATGATAAATTGAGAAACGCTGGTCTAACGTCTTCAAATGTTCTCTAGCTCATTAGCAGCCCGTGTAATGGATAATCGATGAAATCCCGGAGCATAGAAAAGGTACACTGATTTTGGTGATTAATGGGAGGATCAATTAGAGATTGAAGTGTTTCAAAAATAAAAGCAGGATGGCTTATTGGAACCGAAGGGTTACTGTCGAAACTTGTGGGAATTTCGCTCGTGACAAGGGATGACATGTAACTGTAGACCCCTCCGAAAGCTGGATGCTTTTAGTTGAGGCACCGCCTTGGTCTATACTTATCGATAGACCGGGAAAGCGGACGTAGGACTGCGTCTCTAAACATCAGTGAGTGATTTATTGTATGATAATGTTTGTCCGAATTTTTCAGAAAAGATATCTTCATTTCAGAAGAATAGCTACAGTAGAATAACTACAATTAATTAGTATTTTTAATTCTTTATGAATGTATTAAAAGATTAAAGTTTTTACTTTCTTATTTTTATTTTGATGATAATGAACAGTTTGGATCTATAAATTCTGTGAATGTCATTAAAGAATATTTGGGATAAATGCGATGCTAAATACGTATATTCCCAAAAGGGATATTTATGCAGATGAATCGGACGGGGCTTATCTTGTATACATGTATACCTTCCGGGAGGTATCTTCCTCGGATAAAACTTTTTAAATTATGCGAAAACCAATTGGGTTATCTTTGGAGTTTCCTGGTTGCTATCAACCGATTACGAAAAGACTATCCGTATAATCGCCCCGTTTATACATACATATAATTATATAGTCACTAGTAAGGGAAAAATCGTTCGAGAGAGCGTTCGTTTGTAAAAAAAATAAAAACGACTGAAGTATTTGCAAGGAAATTTGGATTATAGTATGTACTCTGTTTAGTAATCAGATTTTGAAAAAAGCATTTATTAAGAGGAATTTATTTGATTCGAGTGCTTCAGCGTATTGCAATAATTCATGAAACTTTGTACATCCTTAAAAGTCTCTGGGAAAAAATACTTTCTATACTTCCACACGAGGAAGTAAAAGTTCTAATGGTGTATGATTTGCTAAATTTGATTAAAGAAAAGGTGAAGCAAGTCCTAACTCAATCTACATAAAAGCGTAGCTAGTAAAATTGACATGATACAAAATTGATATAGATCTTCATTAAATTCTGATAATAAGCATAAAATTGCTACTAACAGCGACAGATATAATCTCCATATCCTCGAGTACTTACCTTGCATACCAATAGCAACATAACGTAGTCATGTTAACAGAATAGCTGTACCATTTCCAGTATCTTTCAATTCCGAGAAGTGAATTACACCACTATAACTTTTATCTCTTCATCTAGTGACTCGAGCTACAAGGGAAGACGACACAAAACCGCGACGGGGGGATGCTAGTCCGACATAAAATCTAAAATCTCGGTCCAATTTCAAACAAGGATAACTATTCGAACGACTCGTTCAGTTAAGGATCTATCAAATTCCCATTCGGCTTTGCAATACGCTGCAGCGTTTGCAAGCTGTTTGAAGATTTATGAACACCCGGGGTATGTAATGCGGCGTCGTTTAAATACGAACCTCTCGACGGTGAAGGCGGTGATGGTGAGCACGGTGGCGTTCGAGGACGTCTCGGCGGCGAAACTCTGAATAATGCAGAATGCCTCGCCGAACACGTACGGGAAATGCGACCAGATGTAGTACATCTCCGGCGGCAGCCCGGATATCAGCAACAGTAAATCAGACACGGCCAGGCTGAACAGATAGTAGTTGGTCGCCGTGTGCATCGACTTGTTACGCGCTATCACCACGCACGTGGACACGTTCCCGACGAGACCGGTGAGGAAGATCACCGCGTAGATCACCGTGATCGGCAACACTATGTAAAGCGGATCCCGTCTCGTCGACAAGTCGTACTGCTGCATAAACTCCGCGACAGGACTCGTATGATTCTCGGCCATGGCGTCGGTCAAGTTGCCACCAACGAGCAGTACCTCCAGATTCACGCTGGCGACGATCGACGGCCGTCTCGGGACCGCTGACTCGTTGAAGGACATCATCCTCGTTCGAGTCGAATTTGACTAGCGGTAAATTAGCATAGCTTCGGGATGAGATTTATGTAGCAAGCCGCGGACGGTGTACGACACATGGGTCAGTGCGATCATTATTCTCAGGTCTCTCTCTCGACGATCTCAGTCAATCCGAAGCGACCGGGTCGATCAGCCGCGTTATTGATCCAGCTGTCGACCGTTCGCCGATGCGCGCTCTCTTTTGTTTGATATCCATTTAGATTTAAGTTCTCGTAGCCGGAAGAGTACAGCTCGCTCGAGTCGTCCCCAGCGGTCCGCTCGGTTCAGATTGATTCGTTGCTTTGAAAATAGAATTGAAAATCCGACGGAGCGTAGATAGTATTGTCAGGGGCGAGGCGACGGGTAGAAAATCTCGTCGGTCCCTGGCGAGACATTATTAATAGAAAATCGCCAAGGCAGGATTATTATGGTTTCCCTCGGGTTCGCACGCTGCTCCCATCCACGTGCCGGACAGTGTAGTCTTCTTGAAGGGTGAGTCTGTTTCATTGCAACCAATTTCGATATATCATCTTTATCTTCGTTGATTTTAAACATAAGCCAGGTGCAAGTTGCAATCGTGTCATATATTTATTTTTAATTAATAGCGTGGCTGAAAACCCATGGAAAAAGATACGATGCGTTAAAGGGGATTACAAATTTTATCGCTTTATTGGAAATATACTGATAAGTGTTCATCTCTCATTTTTAATTAGGAAGTGTTTTTATTTTTATTCATCATGTAATTCCTGTTGCAAAAAAGACGAAAATTGAACAATCAAAAATAAGTTAATGTATGATAAATTGAGAAACGCTGGTCTAACGTCTTCAAATGTTCTCTAGCTCATTAGCAGCCCGTGTAATGGATAATCGATGAAATCCCGGAGCATAGAAAAGGTACACTGATTTTGGTGATTAATGGGAGGATCAATTAGAGATTGAAGTGTTTCAAAAATAAAAGCAGGATGGCTTATTGGAACCGAAGGGTTACTGTCGAAACTTGTGGGAATTTCGCTCGTGACAAGGGATGACATGTAACTGTAGACCCCTCCGAAAGCTGGATGCTTTTAGTTGAGGCACCGCCTTGGTCTATACTTATCGATAGACCGGGAAAGCGGACGTAGGACTGCGTCTCTAAACATCAGTGAGTGATTTATTGTATGATAATGTTTGTCCGAATTTTTCAGAAAATGAATTAATTATTTCTATTTAACGTTGCGAAATGTTTAAACGGTGAAAGCTAACTTTTGACGACATTGACGTTACGTGGAAGTTAGTGAAATTTCGAGCCACTCTGACACTAGTGTAAATTAATTTATAGCTGCGGTTACAACCTGCGACATGATTTTCGTATCAATTTGTCCCGTTTCATGCGAGATGATCGGTCAACTTCTTGATTTATCGTGACAAAAGCCGCTTCGACTAAATTCGACGATAACTCATTTCGAGGAGGACACAAAAATTCAAAGTTCGTTAAAATTTGTCAAGACGCACCTTTTTTCCCCTGTAGTCCACTCTTGGCTGAAACGCGTTTAGCATAATCACTCGGTTACTAATCAGTGAAAAGAGTTAATCGATCGAAGTTAACATTGACATTTGTAGGACACTTTGAATTAGCGTTTCACCAATCGTTTTATCATTGTACACGGTGATTAATTAACGGCTTCATTCTGTTCTTGCGACGTGTTTCTTCTACTGGTTAGCAGCACTACAATCATTCCGAGGCATAAGAAATTCATTGGACAACCCTTTCAATCTAGTTAATCGACAAAGAGCCTTAATCAATCTTGACGCGAATTTCTCTTGCAATTTTCTTCCGAGGTATTACGAAATGTTTGTTTAATTTTTGTTAAATATGGTTTGTGTTTAATGATGATCGGCGCGCGGTTCGCTCGCAACTGAGGATCCTTCGATCGCGAAACACCGTCCGCCTAATCGTCGCTGCTCGCTGTTATATACATAGGAGGATTGATTCGCGCATCTGATACTATTTTCTGCGTGAGACCGATGCCATTAGGCATGTATCGTGTCTACGATCCAACTATTGTGAGCATAAATCAGTTGAAGAATTCCTAACAAAAACGAGTATAAACTACGTTGAATTATGAAAAAGATTCAATGACGAAACAGAAGTATGTGTAATTAATAATGAAAGAGGATTGTCTTTAATTAATTGAATCGTGGACCTCGGAGTTTGTTTTGGCAAGGGTTATTTTCGTTATGAACTCTCCCATTGTTTCGCAATCGTTTCAGGAGACAGGATTTCTGGAGTCTCTCTATTTCCGTCGCGGAAGTAACGATCTCGCATCCGTCTTATCGTGTTAATTGCTCGGAGGTTATCGCTGAATTTCCTCGGTGATCGTTTACGCCGACTGCGACTCGGATCAATTATTAGTTAATTGCATACCGTGGGAATTTCAGTCAGATTTGAATGATGAAGTTAAATATTATTTTACGGTTAGCTTCCTTCGGTGTTTACTTTGAATTATGTTAGCTGCTATTGAATCGCGTTGGATTAATCACGTAGGAAATTGAATCTGATCTAATAATGTGTAAGATTGCATTTGCTCTCGCGACTTCATAAAGCTTATTTCCTTAAGGTTGTATGAACACTTACGTAGAAACAATGACACAGTATTG